AGGGAAATGGGAGGCTGGGAGGAGGCGGAAACTTTTTTTTCTTATTCTCAATAAAAAAAAAAGAAAAAAAAAATCTTAAGTTAAGCATCTCTTCTGAGACTTAAAGCAAATTTTTAGATGTTTGGGTGGAAGCATCACCCCAGCTTCTGGCATCCATTTCAAGCCCCCTCCCCTGAGAGTTACCTTAGTATAGACTCCACCTCTGGGAAAGTCCTCCCAGCAGTGACCCTGTTGCAACTTAGGTCAGTACAATAAATAACCAGGCCAGCTCAAGAATAACAATTATATTTTAATGGTTATAAGGAGAAACTCACACTACAAGAGTAGGAGTTCCGACTTCCTATCTGTCCAGTGGGAGCCTCAGAGATGGGGGCACCTGAGTTCTCCCAGTTTTTTTTTTCCTGGGCTCTAGGTAGCCATGCCTTAACTAGATGTGATTGGTTGACAGAGCTTCCCCATCATCTCCCCCTTTTGTCTAATCAAGATTAATCCAAACCCAATACAACTATATACAATAAGAACAGATACCAAATATAAAATTACAAACAATAAACAAAACTAAGCAAGAAACGCATAACAAAAGTTTTACTAAACATTCTATTTCAAGGAGTCTAAATATTGCATTGAAATTAAACTTGGCTAAATCATGAAGAAGGTAACTACAATTATCTAATCTTTAATTCTATTGAAGATCTGAGAAGGGAAACAATATTACTTGAGTAAGCAGGAAGTGCAATCGAGAAACGTCCAAGATGTGCAACAAATGACAGAGACAACTGGCTACCTGGGCAATCACCCAAAGTCTCAATGTTGAAGCAACCAACTTTGGTTAAGGCCTAATGTAACTGACATACCAGTTTCAAAGGCAAGAAACTTTTCAAAACTATCTTATCCTGTCTTGGCAGGATATGACAGTCCTGTTTTATCCATTTGCAGATACTGTGTATCTCTGTCAGTGGTTGAAGTATGGGCATTTCTTTGCCCGAAGACTAGTTCCGCCAAGAAGAAAGGCAATCTCTCCTTAAATGAATTACTATTAGACTGCACCTTTAAGAAAAATAACTCAGTTGACCAAGTCGTATTAAACAAAGTCCTAGTGTCCTCCTTCAGATGTACAATCTCTTTCTTGAAAAGTTTGGTATCAGTCTGTATTGTGTTTAAGAGTACCTCAGCTGACTGAAAATTGTTATTTAAGATGGTCGTGTCCTTCCTTAGATTTCCAACTTCTTTTCTAAGAAGCCTGGATTCAGTCTGTAAACACAGCATTTTGGCCTTCTGAGCTCCCACAGATCCAGATATTAAAGATTATGTATAACATTTAAGAACCTCTTTAATCTACACTTCCCAATTATTCCAAATAGCATTTCAGAAACTCCCTAGCTACATCCTCCAATTCTTCCAAATTCTACCCACAAATTAGTTCCAAAGGCTCAAGGACCATATGGCCAGACATAGAAATAACAATGAATTTGCTTTCTGGTACCATTTGCATTTGAGTAATTTTATAATCTTTGTAACCAACTAACTAATAGACCAACTTAAAGGAGGATATATTTTAGCTCACAGTTTGACACTATACATTTGAGCAAAATATCACTGTAGAAGGTGGGGTGTGTAAAAGAGCCATCTTCATCTATGGGAATACAAGAGGCATAAAATAAAAAAGGAAGAACCTTTGACTTACTTCCTCTAGGTAGATATTGCTTTGCTTTTAGAAGGAGGTAACTTCTGCCTTCCTACTGTGCCTTGATTACAATGAACCAAAATTGAGACCAAGCTTTTAATACATGGGCCTTTCAGGATATACTCCATTATCAAATCATAACAGCCCTGTCTTAAAATTAAATTCTAATAGATGCCACTGAATTAGAGAAACAAAGAACAAACACATTTGAGTCCTATATGTTAAGCACTCTCTTCTATCAAAGGACCCATGGAAAGGATTGTAAATATCTGACCCAAAGTTCAATGGTTATTAAACACAATTTTATTTCCTCCTATACACACACACACACACACACACACACACACACACACACCAGTTTCAAAATTAATTGTATTAACTACATCCACATATTAGCCACTAGAGCATTGTTTGATTATGGTATTAATTAAATACAGTCTTCAAGCATGCATTATTATAAGCAAAGTGCATGTCAATTTCTTTATTATTATTATTATTTATTAAAGATTTCTTCTCTTTCCCGAATGTCAATTTCTTTATGCTATAAGTGGAATCCAAGTTAGTTCTTTTGATTGCTTTTATTGACCATGGCAGACACAGGCTCTTGTTTAATTGTATGATAGTTCTCAGATTTGTAGGGTATCATAAAAAGCCTCAAAAGTTTGTACCCAAAGAGACTGTTGAAAATTCAGCCTATGTTCAGTTTCTTGATGCTTTTTCCAATGTCTTTTACTGGTATTGTATTAAAGGTAGACTGGGAGGTAACTTCTGCCTTCCTACTGTGCCTTGATTACAATGAACCACATCAATGTCCAGTGTCTTGGAAGAGTTTCCTTTAAGTCTCTTGATCACTCTATCCAAGCTAATGTTCCCCTCTGGAAACCAATATCAGCAGGAAATAGTAAGTTGAACAAATTAAGACTATTTTAGAGCCCTGTTTTTCTGTAGAGTCCCTATCTATGGAGTCTCTAGATCTTGTTGGACAGAAATTGGGAAAACAAATACATTCAGGGCAAAAATTGGTGGACTAAATGTCTCAGGAATACTTTTAAGAACCAACAGATATGCTTGACTGAAGTGAGTATTACATGAAATGGACAAAGGAAGGAATTGTGTGCTTGGTTGGTTTAAGGTTAATCAAACATATTCTGGGATATATTTGGAGCCTGTAAGCATTCTCAAAGGAAATGGGGATGACTAGGGGTTAACTAAGTCTCAGTAAGAAAACAATTTTGGCTAAGAGAAATCTAAAAATTTGGTCTTCAGGAACAGAGAGCTTGGAATTTTTTAAGATGATAACAGCACCTCACCTATTCAATTGGAGTGATTTTCAACATGATATTCCATAAAGCAATCACAAATAAAGGCATAGGAGGGTCTAATGGATGATGCCACCTATGAAACACAACATGTCCAGGCAGCAGAAGGCCGTTAAAGCAACACAAATTTCATTGTAAAGTATCAATTTAGAATTCTTTTCCTTTGGGTAATTTTGAATAAAATATACCCTGAAAGCATGGTGGGGTATGAAGCAGACAACGATGACTACCAGAAAGAAGAAACTCTTGATTTGAGCTCGGTAATCCTGATGGGCCCACATATCAGGCCAATAGTCTCTTATCAAACAAAGAATTACAGCGAGCTGTATCAGAAAGAGGGACAGAACTGTTGTCATCATAATGGCAATTATAGAGTAGTTTATGATGATGGTATCTGTGCAGTTGAGAGATCTATGAAACTCAAAACATCGTTGTTGTTGCTCTGTATAACTTGGATCTGTGCCATACTGTAAAAAAAATATTGGCAAAAAGATGAAGCTTGCTACCATCCAAATAATAATACTTAGAACCACGGCATGGAACTTTTGTAGCTGTTGCATTTGGAGTTTCTTAAAATAGATGAGCAACCGAAGTATGACAATGGCCACATAGAAAACAAAAGTAAAGTACATATGACCATATATGAGGCCACTAACCACTCGGCAGGCAAAAGACCCAAGCTTCCAGACTGCTGAGAGATAGTAGCTGAGGCGGAATGGCAGACTAATCAGGAGGAGGGAGTGCAGCACAATGATATTAATGATGATCGTGGCAATCGCTGATTGGCTATTCCTCTTGAACATCATATATGACATCATAACTGTTCCAATGGTGCCTCCAAATAAAACCACACTATAGACTGTTATCAGAACAATTCTGCAGAAGGCATTACAGTAGTCTTGGTCCGTGCTTGAGCCATTTGACATTATGGTTCCATTCATCACACCCATGGCTTGTCACGAAGAAACTGGATCATAAACTGTTAAATCAAAAGTTTTACAAAATTATGATTGACATATTGAAACTGTGAATCATGTACAAATATTCAACTTTTCAAACCTTGAGGACCCTTTAAAAACCTTGAGATCATACAAAAGAAGTACTGTTGGAGATTCCACTTAGTGATTCAAACAAACTAGAGACAATAGTGAGTCAACTTAAATAAGAAAGTTGAGTTTGTTTGAATGCAAAGTTCAGAGCTGTGCCCCTAGGTATTCTACAAACAGGTATGTTCATATACACATATGAGGACAAGGGGTAGCATGAGAGAGAAATCTCTACATAATTTGTAAATCTTAAGAGCCCCAAACGCCCTCAGTAACTGAAATCAATTGTATACCTGTGTGCTCACACTAGTGTGCATATAAACCTGTATGGCAGTCACTCAACATCAGTTGTCTTTCCCAATGACTCTCCACTTGAAATCTCAAGACAAGAGTTTCTCATGGTGCCTTGAACTTTTCGACTCAGATAGTCTGACTATCAGACCATCTGGAATCCGTCTGTCTCCACACCCTTCTCCCATCTCCCAGTGCCAGAATTACAGACAAATGCTTCCATGTCTAGCTTTTAGTCAGGCCCTGAAGATCCAGACTCAGGTCTTCCTGCTTGCAGTGAGACCCTCCCCAACCCACAAACTGAATGTCAAGGCAACATATTCATGTTAGACAACATATGATCAAATTCAGGGGAAGTTGGCATCAGTAGAAACGCAGTGCACATTCAGATCAGATTTAAAAACGCAACCCATCAATTTTCAGGCAAATGGATTAACAGCAGTTGTAGAGAAAACCCACGCAGATGGTGTCATTATCACACAAGGTGTGTCAGATGACATTTGAGATCATTTTCTGGGGGTAGTTTTGGGCAAGAAGCTCCTCAGCACATGCCGATCCCTGGATCTATTCTGATGTCTGCTTAAACCAGACCCTTCCACACAGCAGTGTGCTCGATTTTGGTGAAATGCTGTTGGAGGATGGTTTTCCCAGTTGTTAATCCAGTTCAAGTGTGAGGGTTGGAGGGGCAGATCGTGAAAGTGAGCGACAAACTTGAGGTGGCTTTCAGCCACCCAGCAAACGCATGCAGCTCTGGATTTAGAAGCTGAGAATGGGCCCTGAGCCACTGCAGCTTCAGGAGCTTTCGCTGTGGAAGGAGGAAGGCTGTGCTGGCTGCAGGAAATGGGTTCTCAGACACTCCGTGAGCTAGTTTGCTTCAGACAACTTTATGATTCTTTGTTTTAAAAAAAAATCCTAATTTTTAATATTAAACCATGAGGCAGTTTTAGTTATTGACTTCTACTGTCACCGTGGATAGCTATGATATTTAAAGGTGTCATTGCCTCAATATGCATTTAATAAACATCTCACTAACTAAGCGACCATAGTTCCTCAAGACCTCTACTCTAACATAAGACTCAGCTCTCCTGGCAGCTCCAGTTTCTTGCCGAGGCTCTGAAGCCTGACCTCATGTGCCTTCTGCCCCCCTGGCGAGAGGTAGAGTGGAATTTATTTATATCAGAATGATAAGTCATTCACATGCTATAAATCTAAACACTTAGGAGTTTTTCTGCACGTATGACATTTTTATTGGAGATAAGAGCTATTTTTTAATTTGTTTGAATCTATCACAATTGTTGTGCTTAGTAAACCTAAAAAACATTACAACTTCCATAACAATCTAAATATTTATAGACAAAATAAGCATTTTAATAAAGGACATACATTCAAAAGATGTAATATTTGCCTACTTTTATGTGAAACTATATTTTCTATGATCTTAAAATCAGCAAATATCATACTAATTTGGTGTCTAAACTTTGGTCTTTTTTAAATCTCAATATCTTATGATTTAAGTTTGAAACGAATTTAGTGTAGTTTTGAAATTTTATTTGAATTTTGAATTTATTTAAATTTTGAAATTAATTTGAAACTAAGCCTAAATCATGGCAAAGCCCCACAGTTTAAGTGTGCTGTCCTAAGGCAGAGGAGAGAGTTCGGGAAAAGACAAATAGCCCTGCCGTTAAGCAGTTGCTTTACAATGAGACAGGTATTTAAACTTCCCTCTAGCTGGAAAATGACTGAATGATGCCTCCCTTCAAGAATTAATTTGGATTGCATCCACGTAGGAAACGGAAATCAGGACTTTGCAGGAAAAGCCTCAGAAAGACATATCCAGCAAGTAGAACCTAGACAGAAAACAATCTCTGTGCATCCATGCATCTATGTGTTGATGTGCAGATGCATGTATGATAAGTCATGAAACTGGAAAGAAGAGCATGACAATAGACAAAGACTTCTTAAGAGAAAGGAAGAATAGAAAATATTACATTTTAAAAGGTGGCCAATTTGGGGGAAGGAAGACAGGTATGCAATGGCGAGCTGAGGAAATGGAGGTGGGGACAGTGGGGGAGGGGCGAATAAGAACATTGTAGGGCAATGGCGCATACGATTGAAAGTATAACGAAACACTACTTTGTGTGCTAACTTAAAAACTAATGAATGGGTAAATTAAAGAGCCTAGGAGATTTTCTGACATCTTATCATTTCCTCCTCTATAAAGTACTCAAAGATATGATACATGAGACTGGCCTGCCTTCTGTTATTTCTCAGAAACTTCCTACATTTTCTCTCAAAACTTTACATTGTGGCCACAACCCCATTATCTTTCAAAAGCCTGTAACCAATCCTGGGTAATTGTTTACTCATTAAAACCAAGCACCAAAACTAGATACTCCTACCCAAACCAAACATTGCCACCAAAAGTACTTGCCTGCTCCTTTCCAGTTGGGATTGATCCTGATGGAAAAGCCCGAGGCACTGTGGACACCTCATGTATGAGAGCAGGCAGTAAAGGCAGTTGCTGGAACCGAGACTACCCTAACACGGCAGTCAACAGACACATGAGCATGGTCATGAAGGAAGGAAATAGCTCGTCTTGCACTGTGGTCTCAAGAAGTCCAACAGCCAAGATATAGAGCCGTGATAAGCCATCTGAGCTCAAAGGGACATTTATCTCTGTCTACAGTGGGGCAGATTCAAAACTTCTTGGTGGAGAGGCTTTTGTTTTCACTACCAAAAATGACTTATTTGCAAAATTAAACTGAAAATGGTAGAGGGATCTTCAAACGCAGTTTCTCATCCTGCTTTTTTGTACCACCCCAAATGTTCTGTACTCAGAATGAGCAAGGCACAGGGACATACTTTCTGTAGCTTTCTCTCTGATGGTCTCCCTTCACGTTCCGTTGTTCACCGGCTCGCTTCTCCCAGGAAGGCTGCTGTGTAGAGCTGTGGTTCTCTTAAAGACTGGCCTTCTGCCACTGGAACTTCTACCGAGCGTTTGTGTCTCCCAAAGACCCCATCTTCTTGCAGGAGCTGACTCTCCTTCTGTCCTAACCTCACAGTCATCTTTAGCTGTTCTAAGACATCAAAGCATAAAGTAAAACAAGTGTGAATTTAATACCACAGGAAGAGAAAAGGAACCAACGCGCCTTCAACTGTCACAGCAGACATGCCCTAGTCATACCAATCGATGTTCAGCTACAGAATCTCAAAACAACTGAAACGTTATTAACTGCAAGGCAAGCTCACTATGGTCTCCTTTGGAGCATCAACGGAGACTATTTTCAAATTGTTACAGAAAAGATAAGCATCACCTGTACCGGTGCCGTCTGCTTTCAGTCATCTAACAGAGCTCAATACTTTGAAGATGTAAAAATAACAGAATCTACATGTAACAGACCCATCTGCTTAACTGCTTCAATAAAACTTTAAACAAAGGACAAAAATCTGACTCTTACGAAGAAACTAAAAATTTCACCAGCTCAACTTAGCTAGGGGAAAAAAATCACACAGAAACAATTTTCAACCGATTGTAAGCTTCTCTTTTTAAGTCAAATTAATTCATAACATACAAAATCTGGGTCACAGCCCAGGTTTGGATGTATTAATCTGACAGTCTTTATTTTTCAAATAAAATGCGTTTCTGGAATCTCTACACCAAAGCATGTTCCCATAGAAACGGTACTATGTTTAGAGGTTGCCTGTATGAGGAAGAAAAACTGGGAAATAGGTTCGATGCAACAAACAGCAGAGAATAAACATAAAACAACTGCACCTGAGAACCCTGCACCGCGCACCTATTGTTCACAGGGCTGGCGTGGAATTCTGCTCAATGTGCTTATGCTCTACCTCAGCAGGAGGGAGGCAGCCACCGTACACTGTCTCCACCCACAGCCAGAGTCCGTGCAGACACGATAGTTCTTTCAACAGAAACAACAAATCCCAAACACCAATCCCAAACAGATTAGAAGCAATTGACTTTGGGATAAGGTGATCTTATTTAACATAATAGTCAGTGAAACTCAAGAGCTGAGGACGTTATCACAAGCTGCAGAATTAGTTAGGGACAGATGAGGGAAACTATGGTTCTTGTTCCAAAATACTGCCCACTCCACAAGGATGCAGGTGTTAGGAGGGTTTCTGTCGGCCTAACAGTCAATTTGCTTTCCACTGTTTATTTTTTTTTTTTATCTTTTTTTTCTTTTTTTTTTCTTTTTACTCTTTTTTCTTTTTTTTTTCTTTTTTTTTCTTTTTTTTTAAAATATAAAATAAAAAATAAAAGTATTTATTTATACAATATTCTGTCTGTATCCTGCAGACCAGAAGAGGGCACCAGACCTCATTACAGATGGTTGTGAGCCACCATGTGGTTGCTGGGAATTGAACTCAGGACCTTTGGAAGAGCAGGCACTGCTCTTAACCGCTGAGCCATCTCTCCAGCCCCTCCACTGTTTATTTTTATACTAGAATTTACCTACATTTGCTACACAAAAGGAATGCTCTTTTGATATTTTAATACATATATATTATGTATTTTTTTCTTGGCCTTCACCAGGTTAACTTTTCTGATATCCTTTCTCTATTTTCATTGTCTCCTTCTTCCTTCTAAATAGTCCCCACTAT